AGCCTAGCAGATGACAAGACAGTCTCCAGAATTCTTCCTGGGTCTAAATTCCTGGGCCCCTGGGAGAGGCTTAAAAGCCAGGTGGTTCCCTCATTGGCAATGGTTCCCTCTCATTGCCTTACTGAAGGCAATGAGATCTTCTATTTTCCAAGTGAAACTGAGAAGAGTATTGTATGGATCAGTGTTCTGAGTTGTAGCAAAAAGATTAGCTCATTTAAGAAGGAAAATGTTTTCTAAAGGATTTCTGGGTAGTTTTCAGAATCACCAAAATATGGAGACACAGGCTAAGAAAAGAGAAATAAGAGAGACGAGGCAGCAGCCAGGACTGGAGCAGAAGTTAGGTCACAGACCCAACGGGTGGTTCACCTCTGCGGACCCCAGCTGCGGGCCAGGTGGAGGCGCGTGCATCCGGCCTTCTCAGCTTCTCCCGCAGAACTCAGGTTCTGCCCTGGGACTTCCCCAAATCCAGGCCAGGGGCGAGATCCAGGGAACCTACTAGATAGATTAGATAGATGGACGATAGAGACAGACAGACTCCTTTCCACAGTCAGATATTTGAGAAAGTGAAAGAATGGATTCATGTCTACACAGATCAAACCCTTTCAAAGTAACTGAAAAATTATTGCTACACAATATCTCAACTATATCAAGAATTTATCAATAGTGTGAAAGCTCATTTTAACGTGATATACATACTATACCTGGGAGAAGCCACATAAAAATGTTGATGCTGGCCGGTCGCGGTGGCTCACACCTGTAACCCCAGCACTTCGGGAGGCTGAGACAAGTAGATCACTTCAGGCCAGAAGTTCAAGACCAGCCTGGCCAACATGGCAAAAACCCTTCTCTACTAAAAACACAGAGTTAGCCAGGCATGGTGGTGTGCGCCTGTAATCCCAGCTATTCAGGAAGCCCAGGCAGGAGAACCGCTTGAACTCGGGAGGTGAAGGTTGCAGTGAGCCGAGACCGTGCAGTAAACTTCAGCCTGGGTGGCAGAGTGAGGCTTCATCTCAAAAAAAAAAAAAAAAAAAGTTTATGCCCTTATCTTTGGGTGGTGGAAAATGAGTAATTTCTTTTTTATTTATAATTAGCTTAGTGCTCTGGTCCCAGCTACTTTGGAGGCTGAGGTGGGAGGATTACTTGAGCCCAGGAGTTCAAGGTCAGCCTGGGCAATATAATGAGACCCCATCTCTGAGGGGAAAAAAGTCATCCTTAACTAGAGCTTCTAAATTTTTCTGCAATTTATATGTTATATGTTACATGCTAATAATTTCTTACCAAAATAATAATGAAGTGAGGATCTTTCTAATTCTACTGGTAATTTTATACGATGCCAGAAATTATAACAACATGTGATGCCTTCTAAGAAAGTACATATGGCATTTTGTGCCACTCACCAAAACACCATTTTATTTCATTTTTCCATAAATAAAACTAGGGCATAGTGGTAGTTGGTGCATAGTGGTATTCGGACACATGAGTAAGTTCTTTAGCGGTGGTTTGTGAGATTTTGGTGCACCCATCACCCCAGCAGCACACACTGGCCCACATTTGCTGTCTTTTATCCCCTGCCCCCTCCCACACTTCCCCCGAGTGCCCAGAGTCCATTGAATCCTTCTTATACATTTGTGTCCTCAGAGCTTGGCTCCCACACCTGCGCGAGGAAATACGTTGCTTGGTTTTCCATTCCTGAGTTACATCACTTAGGGCAGGCATCCCCAAACTTTTTACACAGGGGGCCAGTTCACTGTCCCTCAGACCGTTGGAGGGCCGCCACATACTGTGCTCCTCTCACTGACCACCAATGAAAGAGGTGTCCCTCCCTGAAGTGCGGCAGGGGGCCGGATAAATGGCCTCAGGGGGCCACAGGCAGCCCACGGGCCGTTGTTTGGGGACGCCTGACTTAGGGTAATAGTCTCCAGTCTCATCCAGGTCTCTGCAAATGCTGTTAATTCATTCCTTTTTATGGCTGCATAGTATTCAATCTATATCTATACCACAGTTTATTTACCTACTCATTGACTGATGGACATCTGCATTGCTTCCATGATTCTGCAGTTGTGAATTGTGCTGCTATAAACATGTGTGCAAGTATCTTTTTTGGATAATGACTTTTGTTCCTCTGGGTAGATACCCAGTAATAGGATTGCTGGATCAAGTGGTAGTTCTACTTTTTGTTCTTTAAGGACTCTCCACACTGTTTTCCATAGTGGCTTACTGGTTTACATTCCCACCAGCAGTGTAGACATGTTCCCTGCTCACCAAGTCCACACCAAAATCTACTTTTTTTTTTATTATTGCATTTTAGGTTTTGAGGTACATGTGAAGACCATGCAAGATTTTTGCATAGGTACACACGTGGCAGTGTGGTTTGCTGTTTTTTTATTTTTTTATTACAGCCATTCGAGCAGGAGTGAGGTGGTATCACACTGTGGTTTTGATTTGCATTTCCCTGATCACTAGTGATGCTGAGCATTTTTTCATATGGTTGTTGGCTATTTGTATATCTTCTTTTGAGAATTGTCCATTCATGTCCTTAATCCACTTTCAGATGGGATTGTTGGTTTTCTTCTTACTGATATGCTTGAGTTCATTGTAGATTCTGGATATTAGTCCTTTGTCAGATGTACAAATTGTAAAGATTTTTTTGCACTCTGTGGGTTGTCTGCTGACTGTTCCTTTTGCTGTGCAAAACCTCTAGTTTAATTAGGTCCCAGCTGCTTATCTGTTTATTGCATTTGCTTTTGGGTTCTTGGTCACGAAATGCTTGCCTAAGCCAATGTCTAGAAGGGTTTTTCTAATGTTATCTCCTAGAATTATTATATTTTCAGGTCTTAGATTTAAGTCTAAGGACTTAAATCCATCTTGAGCTGATTTTTGCATAAGGTGGCAGATGAGAACCCAGTTTCATTCCCCTACATGTGGCTAGTCAATTATCCCGGCACCATTTGTTGAAAAGGGTGTCCTTTCCCCCTTTGTGTTTTTGTTTGCTTTGTCAAAGATAAGTTGGCTCTAAGTATTTGGGTTTATTTCTTGGTTCTCTTCTCTGTTCCATTGGTCTGTGTGCCTATTTTTATACCAGTACCATGCTGTTCTGGTGACTATGGCCTTATAGTATAGTTTTAAATCAGGTAGTGTGATGTCCCCAGATTTGTTCTTTTTGCTTAGTCTTGCTTTGGCTATGCAGGCCCTTTTTTGGTTCTATATGAATCTTAGAACTGTTTTTTCTAATTCTGTGAAGAATGATGGTGGTATTCTGATGGGGCTTGCCTTGAATTGTAGATTGCTTTTGGCAGTATGATCATTTTCACAATATTGATTCTACCTATCCATGAGTATGGGATGTGAATAACTCCCTTCTAAATGCTAATTTTATTTATGCAGTTCTTTTATAAAATAAAGATTTCATTTTTTCACATACAATATCCTTAAAGAGTGAAATCCTTTGAATTATTTTTTTCAAAAACAGGCACCACAGTTCTGTTACAGAGGGAGGTCAGCCTCTCAAAACACCTTATATTTTCCTCTTCACCAATTCATACATTTCCATTCCTGATGAGCTTTATTGCTGCTGTCAATTGCAGTTGCCTCTAGATTTCCACTGCTTTTGTTCCTGGAGGGTTAATTTCTAACACTTGGATTTCTTGGCACGCTTTTCTTTCTTTCTTTCCCCAAATACCCAAGCCCTATAACCCTTAATTTTGCTAGTTGATTTTGTGCCCACTCACTATTTATAACTGGAGATAATCCCAGATTCGGACAGCTGGTCTGGCCCATAGTTCTGAGATCTGTGATCCCATTTAGTTTCACCACATATGACCCTAGGCCACAAACATGTTGAGGGCATATGCATCAACAAATAATGTTTCACAAAAATGAAATGTGTGCAAAAATGTGGACCCTATACTCTTGAGTTTGCATTCTATGCTTTAAGGGAAAGGGAACTTCACATACAGCCAAGAACACATCTTTTGATGCAGGAGTGAAGCGTCCCCTCTATGCAGACAGGCTCAGCATGCTATGAGCAGACCACGCTCACTTCCTGTGGTGTCCTTCCACTACAGCATTTCCCTTAAACCTCTCCATGAGCTTCAGTCTACATGTTTCTCAAAAAACAGTCTAAATTCTGCCTTTTCCCTGAGGGAGGTACAGATGTGTGGCTAAAAAGAATATGACAAATCTTAAATACAGTCATAAATAATTATCATAGATAACTGCTGCTACCAACTACCAGCCTTACTCCTCCAATCAACCGTAGCAGCATGGATTGAGGACACCTGCCATGTTGTTGCTCTCACGACCATCGAGGTGAGCATTACACAATTTCTGCCCTTGGAGAATTTGTTCAGTCTGACAGAATCAAAGATAAGCAAAAATAATTAATACAGGGCCTAAGTGCAGAGATACAGGGAAATTTTGCCTAGAGAACGAGAGTTCATTACAGTCTGGATTCAGGAGAAGGCTCCTTCAGGAAAGCCAAAGCCCATTTTACAGGTAAGAAAACTGAGGTTCACAGAGATTAAAGGTTTATGACCACAAACTAGTAAGTTGTGAAGCCAGAAATCAGAAACAGGTCTCTCAGCCCAACATCGCCACAGGCTCATGGGAAGTTGACCCAATTATTCCAACATTCTCAGCATCAAGTGTGTTCATTTCCTAAGGCTGCAGAACAAGTAACCACACACTTGGTGTCTTATAGCAATGGAAATGAATTCCCTCACAGGTGTGGGGCCCAGAGGCCTGAAATCACAGTGTCAGCAGAGTCGGCTCCTTCTGGAGGTTGGGCGAGGACCTGTCCTGTGACTCTCTCCTGGTGTCTTGGGGGTCTCAGCAAATCCCTGATGTCGACACGTCATCCCAGCCTCTGCTTCCACCTTCACACAGCCTTCAGCTACATGTTTGTGCTCTTCATCTTGAATCTCCCTTTCCATTCTCTTAGAAGGACAACAGTCATTAGATTTAGGGTGATTTAGAATGATTTTATCTCGCATCCAAAGCTGTTGGGGTGGATGGTGCTGAAAAAAAGGAAGACTACAATGAAACAGCTCCAATGCTGGAGCAGGCGATTTCACCTAAACCTCAAAGTCAGAAAAAAAATGAAGCTGCCATTAGCAGTTCTGCCAACACTCAGAAACCTGCACTGTTATCCTCAACTTTGTCTTCAGGGAAGGCTCGCAGCAAGAAATGCAAACATTGAATCTGGAGATTCTTCTGGGTGTATAAAACCCCCTAAATCACCACTTTCCCCAGAATTAATACAAGTCAAGGATTTGACGCTTGTATCTCAGCTTTCTTCTTCAGTGATAAATAAAACTAGTCCTCCACAGCCTGTGAATCCCCCTAGACCTTTCAAGCATAGTGAGCGGAGAAGAAGATCGCAGCGTTTAGCCACCTTACCCATGCCTGATGATTCTGTAGAAAAGGTTTCTTCTCCCTCTCCAGCCACTGATGGGAAAGTATTCTCCATCAGTTCTTAAAATCAGCAAGAATCTTCAGTACCAGAGGTGCCTGATGTTGCACATTTGCCACTTGAGAAGCTGGGACCCTGTCTCCCTCTTGACTTAAGTCGTGGTTCAGAAGTTACAGCACCACTAGCTTCAGATTCCTCTTATCATAATGAATGTGCAAGGGCAGAAAAAGAGGATACACAGATGCTTCCAAATCCTTCTTCCAAAGCAATAGCTGATGGAAGAGGAGCTCCAGCAGCAGCAGGAGTATCGAAAACAGAAAAAAAAAAGTGAAATTGGAAGAAAAAAGCTCAACAGCATTTGGTAAGAGAAAAGAAAAGGATAAGGAAAGAAGAGAGAAGAGAGACAAAGATCACTACAAACCAAAACAAAAGAAGAAGAAAAAAAAGAAAAAGAAATCTAAGCAGCATGACTATTCAGACTATGAAGACAGTTCCCTCGAATTTTTGGAAAGGTGCTCTTCTCCACTAACTCGATCTTCTGGGAGTTCTCTGGCTCTACGAAGCATGTTTATGGAGAAAACTACAACCTATCAGTACCCAAGGGCAATTCTGTCCGTTGATCTTAGTGGTGAAAACTTATCAGATGTAGACTTCCTAGATGATTCTTCAACGGAGAGTTTGCTTCTGAGTGGGGATGAATACAATCAGGACTTTGATTCAACCAATTTTGAGGAATCTCAGGATGAAGATGATGCTCTTAATGAAATTGTGCGATGTGTTTGTGAGATGGATGAGGAGAATGGCTTCATGATCCAGTGTGAAGAATACTTGTGCTGGCAACATAGTGTGTGCATCGGGCTGCTGGAGGAGAGCATTCCAGAGCAGTACATCTGCTATGTCTGCCGGGACCCACCGGGTCAGAGGTGGAGTGCAAAATACCGTTATGATAAGGAGTGGTTGAATAATGGGAGAATGTGCGGGTTATCATTTTTCAAAGAAAATTATTCTCATCTCAATGCCAAAAAGATAGTTTCTACACATCATCTGCTTGCTGATGTCTGTGGTGTTACAGAAGTGCTACACGGGTTACAGCTGAAGATTGGAATACTAAAGAATAAACATCATCCTGACCTTCATCTCTGGGCTTGTTCTGGGAAGCGAAAAGACCAAGATCAAGTAATAGCTGGGTTAGAGAAAAAAATAGCACAAGACACAGTTAATCGAGAAGAAAAGAAATATGTACAGAACCATAAAGAGCCACCTCGTTTGCCCCTAAAAATGGAAGGAACTTACATAACTAGTGAGCACAGTTATCAAAAGCCACAAAGTTTTGGTCAGGACTGTAAATCTCTCGCAGACCCTGGGAGCTCAGATGATGATGATGTTAGTAGTTTTGAAGAAGAGCAAGAATTCCACATGAGAAATAAAAACCGTTTACAATACTCAGCAAAAGAACACGGAATGTCTGAAAAGAATCCAGCTGATGGGAATACAGTATTTGTTTATAATGATAAAAAGGGCACCGAAGACCCAGGAGACTCCCATCTTCAGTGGCAGCTCAATCTCCTTACGCACATAGAAAATGTGCAGAATGAAGTTACCAGCAGGATGGATCTAATAGAAAAAGAAGTTGATGTTCTGGAAAGCTGGCTTGATTTCACAGGGGAGTTGGAGCCACTTGCAAGATTGCCCCAACTTAAACGCCACATAAAACAGCTCCTAATTGACGTGGGCAAAGTACAGCAGATAGCCACTCTTTGCTCTGTATGACAACAGTGAACACTTAATGAAAGAATGTGGCTTTCTTCAGTCAAATCATTTTTATTATCCACATGACAGCTAAGTGGATAATTTAAAAGCCTAGTAATGTCTGGTCATTCACTGGTTCGTGATGTCAATAGGATGGCACCTTGGAAAGCAAAATGAAGAGCAACTTTATCAAGGAAGCTAGAATTTAAAAACAAATTCATGAGCAAGCTGCAAATGAGAATGTGTTATATGCCAAGGATCAATGAAGTAGAATATAATCTAGGATTTCAAGTGAGCAGAATTTTTGAATACTTGCTTACATGAAGCTCAAGATACCTGTAGAAAGAAATATGGTATATTTATATAGTTTTTAATAGAAAGATCTACGTTTATAAACCAGCACTTGGCCAAAAACAAAATTGTAAAGGAAATTTAAATTCTGGAGAATTCTACAGGGTTGCTCTAAGAACTGTCTTCTCAGCAGTTGATCCAGCTGTATGGAAGTTTAGGATATTTAAACTTTTATTGGATCATGAGCTGTTTCTTGGGCGATGAATGTTCTTAACAGAAAACTGACAGTAGAAGTCTCACTTCTGGGGAAAACAGTTGTGGAATTCTTACTTCATTATGAATGTATTTAAAAACAAACACCAAATAATTGGAATATATTGCAGGCATTAAGCTCATTAAAAACAAACTGGCTTGCAGAAGGGTCCGATGTGCCAAGTGATCATCATTCTGCTGGAAAGAGGTTTTTAAATATTGTGGGTGTTCCCCCACCCTAAGTCTTACATAATGCCATCAGTCCCTCCAAACCTATATATCACCCATGCGATGTATGTCATACATATAGTTGAATGGCAGTATTCAGGCTCAACATACAGTTTGATCCTGAGTATGCTTGGTGTTTGCCTTCAGAAAAAAAATTGTAAATAACCTCAGCTGGGATGAGGAGTGACAGAAATATCAAGATAATTTGTGGCTGTGGATTTTTTTAACTGCTAGTAGTGGAATACTGGAAAAGCTTCATTTCTGAAGTTGAATTTTATTTTTAAAAAATACATGCACACTCAAAACTTTTAGCTTTGATCACAAATGGACAAATTTCTGAAACCAAAGGCAACTAAGTTGCTGTGTTAGCTCTTGCTGGATTTTGAGCCTAGGTCCTACTGTCTGCCAGCACTCGTGTGAGTTGTATGTGCCCCCAGTGCTACATACGCAGGTATGCGTAAGTGTGTATGCTTGTTTTAAACAAACACTCAACATACATATGTACATAATCGACACATATTTATATCACATATCTAGTTTTATTACTATAGACTATACGAATTGGTGGTTAACATGAAATGTTACCTTTTAACAGACTGTTTTTAAAAATTAAAAATGTATGTATAGGTTTTGAAATTTTTTTAAAAGGGGATAAAGACTGTTAGAAGGAGGCTATTTGATGACATATAGCACTTGAATATTTTATGCCTCATTCTGTTTATCAGTTCTCACAATCTGTATAAACGCATTTTAGAACTGATAGACAGTAAACTTGAATTTATCTTTGATAAGAATACATGCCACTGTACATTCAGATATTATTTAAATTTGCAAACACATTGTTCTATATGTAAGGGTCCTGTATGTAAAACTCTTTATTAAAACTATTCCACATATCCAAAAAAAAAAAAAAAAAAAAAAAAAGAATGATTTTATCTCCAAAATCTTAATTACATCTGCAAAGACTCTATTTCCAAATAAGGTAACACGCACAGGTACCAGGAGTTAGGACCTGAACTCATTTTTGCAGGGAACAATATTCAACCCAGTATCCCAAGTGCACTGTTCACAAGTCTATTCCAGCTTTTACTTTCCCCTGGACCTTTCTGGCTGGAGCCCTCATGCTGAGCCAAGGATTTGTGGATAACTCATGAGAATGTGCACAGCCTTGGGCAGCCTTCTAAATCATCATGGATAAGTGAGAGCTTACCAAGTCCCACTATGGTGATCATTCTTTCAAATTTCTCACTGGTTTGCTGATTTCTTGCAGGATCACAGCATGGAGCTTCCCCTTTTGTTTGCCAACCATTTCTAACAACAGTAACTGAGGGTGTCGGATTTTCTGCTCCCTTCTTCAAACCAAGTCAGCGGCCACCAGCAGCTAAGTTCCTCTTTCTCACGGCTTGCCCCACTCTGTCAAAGCCATCACATGACAGGACTGTGGAGGCAGAGGGGAAACAGCCCAGGTGAAGACAGCACAGACTCTCACTATTTGTACACAGTTTAGTGGGTCTTGTTCAACAAACACTAATCAATTTGCTGTATGTCCTTGGTCAATTCCAAGATTTCTTAAGTGGTTGATTTTTAGTCTTGTGTTATCATTGTTTTGAGGGGAAGAGGATTTGTTATATTCTTCCCTCTACCATTCTGAAAGTCCCAATTTCCAGATACTAACTAAAGAAGAGCCATTGCTCCATTGTGTCCTGCAGCTGGATGTCACCAGTGAAAGGTAAGAGTCGGGAAGCCTCCGGAGATGCTCACTCTGCACAGGTGGGACGGGACTGGATGGAGCAGGAATTTACAACCATTTATTTTCCTCTTCCCTTTAAGTATATTTATTGTCTACATTTTCTCAAAATCTCACAGTGAAAGAGAAGAGAATTGCCTAAACCTATATTTTTACAGAATAAAGGAAGAGTTCAAAATTCTAGATAAAATAACCCATCTATCAAGATGCAAATTGCCACAGCGATTGAAGGTTACCCTGGACACACAGAGCAAAATGCTCACCTATTATGACTGTCCAGAGACTGTACCCATTTATCATGAATGTTTAGGAAGTTCTTTTGTTGCTTTACAAATCTATAAACCCGTTATTATCAGTTTCCAGACCTTTTGTTTGCCTGACTTGAAAACCACTCCTGCTTAGAATACAGTCCAGTTGAAGGGTGATAAATGTAATCATTCATTACTGACTGGGCTATCACAGCACGAAATAACTCTATTTTCCCATCTATTCTTTCACCTGCACATGCCCACAAACACAATTACAAGAGAGATTCCCTTTCTTTCAGAGGCTACAAACCAGTAACCTCTGGTTGAAAAATAGGCTCTATTTAGCTCTTATTGTACCTTTTAAAACATTCAGCTAACAATTAAAATCTACATATTTTACACGAAACTAGGAGTCCCTGCCTTTTCTTGGAAAAGGCTCTGGTGACAGTTCATCCTGACTTTTCTTTCTGGACACTGCAACAATCTCCGATAACGTGCAGCCCCCTAGCCCACCTCTACCATCTTCCTAACGCCGACAATGGATGATCATCAATTATTTCACTTGTTTCATTTTTCTTTTCGTGGTAGGAAAATATTTTTCTGTAAAAATGTCTTTAAGTATATTTTGAATTAAAAATTGAAAGAAAAAGTAGAAACCAGGATTATGCTCCGCGCGGTCCTCTGTACTCATGAATGCGACTTGTCTGCACTGCCACAGACACCTGAGTTTGTTGTGTCTGTTTTCATCCTTAGATTAGAACCAAACAATCTGTAGAAATAAAAATAAGTCAGGACCGCAAGGTTCTTGCCTATCAGATTGGCCTAGTCCAGAGGTGATCAGGAAGCTGGCCGAGATTCCTGATTTTATAGTAGATGGGGAGGTGTTCAGATTCTTCTAGAGTCAGATTAATTAAGTTCAAGTCTTCGCTTTGCCACTGTTAGGGCTCAAAAAATGATGCCCCCAAAATACTGTGCTTTGACATGCTGGCCAGGAGAAGCGGCCTTAAAATCTCTGTAATCTTCTACCTCCAGCCCTTCCTCGGACCCTCTTTCCCAAAGTACTGGGAGGGACTCTCTTTGGAATTTGTCTGGCTAAGAAAATTTTTTCCCAAAATAAATGCAATTGTCTTAAGACCCTTTGCCTAGGACTTTCATCAAATACCCAGGAAAGATGAACCGCTGGAGAAGAGTAGAGACTGGGGCCATGACCACACCACACAGACTTTTCACGTTTTCTTCTGAGGAGAGCACTGACTTTATCTTCATAATAAGACAAGCTTTGTCCCTGTGAAGTTCTGCTCCTCTCCTTCCTGCAACCTTCTCACCCAGCTTCCAAAGAGAATCGTTTACAAAACAGTGTCTGCCTTCCGGGTCCACACATCTCTCCCCTGTGAAGACAGCATTTAAGAATCAAGCATCTGGCTCCTCCCAGATCTCATACTTTGTGTGTAGCTTCTGTGTTGATGCATGTTGAATACATTTTGCCTGCCTCTTTCTCCTATTGATCTGCCTGCTATCAGCTCATTTTCAGCAAACCCTCGGTGGACAGAGACGAAGCGTTCCCTTCATCCAACACTGCCCACAGATGTTGTGATCTTTGGTAAATTACTTAATGTCTCTGAGATTCCACTGGTCTATTTTTAAAAGGCAGATAATAGCATCCACCTTGTAGGGCCATTTGAGAGTGAAATTACATGCTCAGAATAATGCTTGTGTGATGTAATAAGAAATATATTTGGTCTTTGTTCCTGGGTTTTGTTGCAGGGCTTCTAAAATTTTTGGAAGTTCCTGAGTGATAGGAATGTCTTTCATTATTCATAATGATCTCCTTTATAAGAAAACTTGAGTTTATGCTAAGGAGATGACTTAGATAAACCTAGATAACCCCTAAGAAACACTGCTGCATGGTCCAATGTTAATGAAATTGAGAACTGTGCTTGTGAAAATAGTCTATCCCCAGAATGCATGTGTCACACCATACCTGTCCTGACTCCAGTGAGGATGACACTGTGTCCAAGGGCTGAAGAACAGACCCGGGGACAGTGAACAAGGCATAGGGCTTATCAGGGGATCTTACACACAAAGACAACTTGGAAAAGAAACAACCGGTACTTTGGCTGCTTTTAAAGTGTTCACTTTAAACAAAACTATCTACAAAATTATAAAACACAGAACAACACAGAAGCCAGGTATGGTGGCACGTGCTTATAGTCTCAGCTATTCAGGAGGCTGACGGATGCTCACTTCAGGCCAAGAGTTCAAGGCTATCGTGAGCTATAGACTCACCTGTGAATAGCCAGTACACTCCAGCCTGGGCAACATAGTGAGACCCTACCTTTAAAAAAAAAGCAACTCATATGTGTGAGCAGATCAATATAAAGATTCCATTAATTTAGGAACCAATGCAAACTTTCAACCAAGCAAGATTCAGAGAAAAGAACGTGGATGAAAGGGTAAAAGACTGGTCTATAATTCTGAATTCGGATGCCCACTGCCTGTGTAATCCAGGACAAATCAGTGCCACTCCCAGGACCAGTCATTAGAGTGATTAGGTTAGATTGGAAAGTTTCCTTTTGATTCCGTCTAAAACGTAATACAAAGAATATCAAAGACCATCAAAAGGTTTGTTGCTGCATTCCCTAACAGTTATGGTTTAAATTATTAGGTAAGTCCCAAGGTTTTCATTCCAGTGGTATTTATTATGACAGAATATACAGTAAAAACTTGATTAGCATAAGGTAGTATTAACCATGGAAACTTCCTAGAGTTTTAACTCAGTAGATAATCTGATTAAAACTTCAAAACTCCTCTAGTGAAATACACAAACACATTTTGCATAAAATTTAGAAGATTCACTGATGCTTAGAAAGATTTAATTTGAGGAAAAACTGGGATTTGAACTTGAGGAAAAGAAGAAAGGAGGAGTTACCTAACTAACTGGTTACCTAGCCAGTAGAGGAGAAGGATATCCCAGGTGCTCTTTGCTTAAAACCTCAATGTATTTGACAGGCACTTTATAATATAATCAATCTTTTGATAGTTAGTCTCCAACTTAAACTCTGAGGTCTCGAAAGTAGGAAGTGAATACAGCATTTCTACTCGGAGTTAAGCTTCTAAAAATATTAACAGAATCTTTTCATTCATTCATTAGGAAAAGGAAGTGGTTTTTCATTTTCATTCAAAAGCCAGCTTCCTTTTCACTCAAAAAATAAATAAATTTGGCATAAGGAATGGTGAGGTGCCCTCTTCTGTCTCTAACCAGTTAATGCAGGGTTTTTGAATACCAGGAATTGGAAGGATTTTGCATTAAACTTTGAACACAGCAAGATTTCAAAATGTGAAAGCATTTCTGTTGACCTGCAGCGACTGGAGTATCTCTTTATGCAGAGAAGTTCCTCTTTGCCAGTTAAGAGGTCCTCATTTCTCTCTGTGTAATAGCACACACTGTTCCTGGCTGAGAAGAAAACAGAATTAACCTTGGGCTGGCAGCTGTGCCGCCGGATTTCCCTGGGTGAGTGAGCCAGCTCTCCAAATGTATAAATAATGTGCCCAGGTCTCCTTGTTGCTTAGTCTTTTCGTATCACTTTCCAGAAGCCTGGAACACAATTCCAAGCTGCTAATACGTTAATACTTTCACCAGAGCTTGATTCCAGTTGCTGAGAAACCAAATATGAAACAGTAAACCCAGAAGGATGACCCAAGCTTCCTGTTCTTTACGGGCAGAATTTTGGTGTGCAACGTACAAAGTTTGACAAATGAAGCAAAGAAGCGAATGTAAAAGACAGTTCTGAGATCCAAACCGAGTCACGGGAGCACAGTGGTTTCAGCAGATCTACTGCTGGGCTGCTGCCAGTGGCATCTGGGCAGGAAGGAAATGCAAATTAAAAGGAAAAACTGGGCCAT